CAATAAATTGGAGATGATGAAGTTTTTTATTTTATTTGGTTTGTGTGTGTGTGTGTGTGTGTGTGTGGTATAAACAAACTAAATTGGTACCTCAGTAAGAAATTTAATACAAAGTGAGCAAATAGGACTGAGTTGTACCTTGTTGTATCACTAAGAAATAACACTAAAACTGTGTGCGCTCCAATACCAATATAACTTTGATTATAGTCTGCCTCTGCACTTCCACCTCTTTAAAACAAGAAGTGAAAGACTGGGGAACTCCCTTCCTACGGTTTCTAAAGTGAAACCTTCCCCAGCAATTTTTCCAGAGAAGAGACTACAATTTGTAAAGTTAATGGATCAATTAACATTTCCTCCTCCCCCTCCCCCCCCAACCCCTTTTAAAAGATACTTGAACAATTAAATTATTTTCCCCCTTTTCTTTATATTTTATGTTATCAAAAGCTAAATATCCGGTAATTCATAAAGTAAAAGATATATAACTGTAACTTGGGGGAACTGTTTCTAGTACTCTCCCTTAACCCAGTATAAATTTATTATAACTTTAACAAAATCTTTATTGACGAGAGAAACTTTAAGGTGAAACCATGTGAGTGTTATTTTTTCCCAGCTTGCAAGTGTATTTTAATCATTGCGACAGTCAATACTGAGATTTAGAAGCAAGTCGCAAAGCCTTTGTGTGCAAAGTACTGTGATTTACGGCTCCGGCAGCAGTCTTGAGTTTCGTTTTCGCTGGAAGGCTGTTTTCTGTGTCTGCTGATTTAGAAGCAAGTTGCAAAGTCTTTGTGTGCAAAGTACTGTGATTTACGGCTCCGGCAGCAGTCTTGAGTTACATTTTCGCTGGAAGGCTGTTTTCTGTGACTGCTGATTTAGAAGCAAGTTGCAAAGCCTTTGTGCGCAAAGTACCGTGATTTTCGGCTCCGGCAGCAGTCTTGAGTTTCATTTTTGCTGGAAGGCTGTTTTCTGTGTCTGCTGCGCTCCTTTCATTCATTCAATTTTTCTTGAAGGCACCATGAAGTAACTCTTGGATTTAAGAGCAGAAAATAAGTGAGTCTCGCTATTCTCAATATTTGAACCGGTTTCAGACACATTTGTGGTAGTCGGTATGTTAGGAAATCAGTTCTCTGTGTCCTCCACGTCCGATGTTGTGGGCGGCGTGGCTGAGTGGCATCTTTTATTCGATTGGTTAGCAAAATCCATCGTTGGACTAATATTTAAGTGGGTTAACAACTGCATGCCCTCGTCATTGCCAGTAATTCTGTGCATCTTTCCTTTATACGTGAATTGCAAGACGAGAGGCGTAATCCACGAGTATTTGAGATCTGCTTCTCGTAGAATGCTGGTAGTCTGTTTCATTTCGCGCCTCTTCTGCAGAGCCTCACGGGGGAGGTCCGGATAAACCTCAATGTGTTGGTTAAGATAGTCCAGATGGCCATTCCTCCGAGCATAAGATAGGATTTTTTTTCGGAATCTGCCATCTAAGAGAGTAATCATCACATCACGTGAAGCTCTTGTTTTCAGCAGAGCCGTCGGTCCTAACCGATAAGCTTTCGTTATTAGGGGAGACTGGTCTCCTTCAGTGCCCACTATTTGCGCTAGCCAATTTGAGAGGTGGAATGCCAAATCCCCATTTTTCTCAATGTTTTCTCCCAGCCCTCTCAGTTTTAAATTATTCTGCCGTAGTGTAAGGTCTAGTTTCATGGTTCTTTCCGCTAAGATTTCCTCAGCTTGTTGCATTTGCTGTATACTATTTTGGTTAGTTATACTATTCTGAATGGCCATTTCCGCTGTGTGATTAGTTTCCTTTATGTTAGTTTCAGCTTTTTCTAGGCGATCATATAAAGGTTTGAACATTGAGTTAACGTGTGTAGTAAATGTTTGTTCCATAGTCATCAAGGCTTCTTTTAAGTCAGCTGCCGTTATAGGCGCTGTTCTGTCCACCTCAGAGGCAGCAGCTGCCATTTTTTCGGGCGCGCGATCGTCAGGGCCTGATTTTTTAAACTTGTCAGAGGAGTCTAACCTGTTTTTATCTTTTCTCAATTTTTTCACCGTAGGTTGAGTAGGCTTCAAGGGTTCTTTCTCCATATATATTATATTTTTTTGTTGCCTTTATGTATGATTTCGGGATTGAGTGGGGGTCGGGTTCAGCGGAGCTAACGGTTCAGGCTGCCATTATTAAAGGTCCCGCCCCGGAAGTCATCGTTGTAGTTCTGATGTTGAAGCAGTAATCTTCTCTAAGGCAAAATTCTATGCAGTTGGTTTGGCTGAGAGTGTGTGACTGGCCCAAGGTTACCCAGCGAGCTTCCATGGCAGAGTGGAGATTCAAACCCAGACCTTCCAGGTCCTACTTGGGCATTCTAACTACCGCACCACTCTGGCTGTATTCAGGTCCTTTCAGTTTCAACCCCAAGACACAAGAAACTGCCAGGAAACAGCAGAGGGCACCCCAAAACCTGTTGGGGACAATTGTGGCAACTGATGGTCTACTCTAGGCCAAGGTCCCTGACCTTTTTAAACCTGTGGAATTCTGACAAGGGTGATGGGTGCCAGTGTTCCCTCTAAGCTGAGTTAGTGTGAGCTTGCTCACGGTTTTTCAGCCTCCGGCTCACACATTTTTGTCTTAGCTCAGGAAGGAGGGCTCCAGAGCAAACTGATTTATGCAGTGGCCAAATTGCTCGCTCACAACTTTAATGCCCGCAGCTCACAAAGTAGAACTTTTGCTCACAAGACTCCACAGCTTAGAGGGAGCATTGATGGGCACAACTACAAAATGAAGCCAACAACAAAATGGCTGCTGAAGAGATTTAGCTTGGGACTGGGGTATCTGAGCAATCATATTCTCCCATATCTTACTGCCTAGGAACTAAGAGCACAGAGTGGGGTCCTCCTGACTGACCCACCAATCAAAGAAGTTCATCTGGTGAGCACACAACAGAGGGCCTTTTTGGTGGTAACCCCACAATTATGGCCCAACCTCCCCAAGGAGCTGCTCCTGGCCCCTTCACTTTGGATTTTCAGGAGGCAGTCCAGGACAGTTGTATTTAGGACTGCATTTGACTAATTTAGTATTTATTGGCAGTCTGAATTGGAGATTTTAAATTATGGTATTTTATGTATATATATTTTTGAAATTGTTTTCTTTACATTGTAAGCCACCTAGAGTTCTGTAAGGTAGAAAGGTGGCTAACAAATGTTTTAAATAAATAAAAATCACGAAATAACTAATAGTAACTCTTCAATATTTCAGGGTGCCTTTTAAAAGGAACCTATTATTGTAAAATATTTCCTTCAATACATACAGCAAAGATCCTTTTGCTGTGGTAGCCGCTGATGTCAAAACAGTGTTTTTAAAAATCTGCACATCCTGTCAAATCTCCAACTGCCAATCAGAAGCCCTGCTGGGCAAAAGCCCCAGCTGGACCTGCCCCCTTTCTAAGAACACTTGGCGGGTGTGGAGGAAAGTATCAATGGGCATCATGGCACTAGGAAAGCGTAGTCTAGGCTCTTAAGCCAAGAAAGATCTTTCCTAACATCTGAGTTGTTTTGTACTGCATTACCAGGAACCAGGGCTTTTTTTTGTAGAAAAAGTCCAGCAGGAACTCATTAGTATAATAGGCCTTAAAATATTTTCTTCCAATATATACAGCAAAGATCCTTTTGCTGTGATAGCCGCTGATGTCAAAACAGTGTTTTATAAAAATCTGCACATCCTGTCAAATCTCCAACTGCCAATCAGAAGCCCTGCTGGGCAAAAGCCCCAGCTGGACCTGCCCCCTTTCTAAGAACACTTGGCGGGGGTGGAGGAAAGCATCAATGGGCATCATGGCACTAGGAAAGCGTAGTCTAGGCTCTTAAGCCAAGAAAGATCTTTCCTAACATGTTCCTGCCCAAAAATAGCCCTGCCAGGAACCAAATGGGGGAGTCATGGCCCACCCCAAACTAAGCAATTCTGACTCCCAGCTGGATAAGACCTGGAAGATATGAAATTAGGATTTTAAAACTAACCAGCAATACTAGAAAGCAGTGTTGAGCCAAGGTGGAGGGGGGCAATGGGTGAATAATACCATCTGGAGCACTGATTCTTTTTTTTTTTTTTGCCAACAATTCCCAAGCAATTTATGGCACCCCTTAGGGGTTTCAAGACAGGAGATGCTGGTTTGCCATTGCCTGCCTTTGTGTAGTGTACCTTGTTATCCCTTGGTGGTCTCCCAACCAAGTGCTAACCAGGATCCACCCTGAGCTATCCACAGCAGAGCAGCACTGATTTACCTTACCTAGGCCCCAGTCACACGGCAAAGTTGCCGCGGGAGAGGCACGGGAGTCCCGCGGATTTTCCGGGCGCGATCTCACCCCAACATCTGGGAAGCACAGTGCTCCCGTGGCGAACCCATGGCTCCCCGCCGAAGGTGCGGAGTTAAAAAATAGTACCTACGAGGTACTAGTTTCCAGAAACTGCGGGCCAAGGGCGGGCATCTGATCGCGTTCCCGGTGGACTTATGTGGCATCCGGCGCCCGGCACTGTTCGTCTCCGCAGGTTGCGCAACAGCGCCCAACAACGCATGCGCACAAAGAGCGATTGCTAGTGCAATCACGCGGTGCGGCTTCTGTGCCGCACTGGATACCCGTCTGATCGGCATTTACCCCGAACCACGGGACCTCGACCGGGATGTGTGCTCGGGCTGCCGCGCATTAGTTTCCTCCGGGGCAATTAGCCACGCCTCCCCCCCATGATATCCAGCCCGTGTGACCGGGGCCCTAAAAATGTTTTTTAAAACATCTTTAATTGAAGAGTCTAGTACTGTTTCAAGAATCAAACCTTCTTTTAATGGTAGAATATTTCTGATGAATTAATTAGTTGAGGGGAAAACAGGCATTTATCTCATTCCTCTGTGTTGACCCTCATATGCACAATAACATCAAAATTTTGAGAAAAGCTCATTACATTGTCATCATTTAGATGGTGTCTCCCGTGCGAATGCTTCGCTGTGAAGTTTCCCCCCTAACGTGAACCCTTTGGTGATGAATAAGGGTTGTGCTCTGACTGCAGTGCTTCCAACACTGAGCATTTTTATGACTACTCGCTTGTGTGGATTCTTTGATGTACGGTTAGGTGGGTATTCTGAGAGAAGTTCTTTCCACACTTAGAGCATTTATATGGCTTCTCCCCTGTGTGAATCCTTTGATGTTTAATGAGGTTTGCATGCTGACTGAAGCTCTTTCCACACTCAGAGCATTTATATGGCTTCTCTCCTGTGTGAATCCTTTGATGTGTAGTGCGGTAGCCACTGGAAGAGAAGCTCTTTCCACACTCCAGACATTTATATGGCTTCTCCCCTGTGTGAATTCTTTTATGTTTATTAAGGCTTGATTTATCAAAAAAGGTCTTGCTACAGTCTGAGCATTTATATGACTTCTCCCTTGTGTGAATCCTTTTATGTTTATTAAGGCTTGATTTATCAAAAAAGTCCTTGCTACAATCTGAGCATTTATATGACTTCTCCCCTGTGTGAATCATTTGGTGATGAGAAAGAGTTGTGCTGTGACTGAAACTCTTCCCACATTCCAAACACTGATATGGTTTCTCACCTTTGTGAAGCCAGAAATGTAATGTAAGGGCTGTGCTGTGACTGAAGCTATTTCCACACTCCAAGCATTTATACGGCTGCTCCCCAGTGTGAATCCTTTGATGTGAAGTAAGGTGTGCTTGCTGATTGAAGCTCTTCCCACACTCAAAGCATTTATATGTCTTCTCTCCTGTGTGAATCCTCTTATGTTTATTAAGGCCTGATTTATCAAAAAAGCTCTTGCCACAATCTAAGCATTTATATGGCCTCTCCCCTCTGTGAATTCTTTGATGTGTAGCGAGGTCACCACTGTGAGAGAAGTTCTTTCCACACTCCAAGCATTTATACGGCTTCTCCCCTGTGTGAATCCTTTGATGCTTAGTAAGGTTGCCACTATCAGAGAAGTTCTTTCCACATTCCAAGCATTTATATGGCTTCTCCCCAGTATGAATCCTTTGGTGACGAGTAAGGGTTGTGCTGTGATTGAAACCCTTCCCACATTCCAAACACTGATATGGTTTCTCACCTTTGTGTAGCCAGAGATGTAATGTAAGGGCTGTGCTGTGACTAAAGCTCTTTCCGCACTCCAAGCATTTATACGGTTTCTCCCCCGTGTGAACCCTTCGATGCGAAATAAGGTGTGCATGCTGACTAAAGTTCTTCCCACATTCCAAGCATTTATATGGCCTCTCTCCTGTGTGAATCCTTTGATGTTTTGTGAGGTCGCCACTATAACAGAAGCTCTTCCCACACTCCAAGCATTTATATGGCTTCTCCTCACCTGTGTGAATCCTCTGGTGATGAATAAGGCCTGTGCTCTGACTAAAGCTCTTCCCACACTCTAGGCATTCATATGGCTTCTCTCCTGTATGAACCCTTTGATGTTTAATGAGGTCACCACTTTGAGAGAAGTTTTTTCCACACTCCAAGCATTTATATGGCTTTCCCTCTGTGTGAAACCTTTGATGTGCATGCTGACCAAAGCCCTCTGCACACTCTAAGCATTTACATGGCTTCTCCCCTTTGTGCAAACTTTGATGGTCAGCAAGGACTTTGTCATGACTGAAGCTTTTTCCATATTCCATGTGTTTAGGTGGGTTCTCACCTGTTTGGATTTTCTGATTTTTCTTATCATTGGCTTTCCCATTTACAGGACTCTTACTTCTCCTCATTCCCTTCTGTATCTTGTCCTGGTTTTGGATCTTATGCAAGTTCTTGCCCTTATAGGCAACCAATTCTTTCCTCTGCTTCCATTTTGAGTCCCTTTTCCTTCTCTGTTGCTTCTTTGCTTCTTCTCGATTCCCAAGTTCCTCTTCTGCCTCCAGATCCTCCTCTCTTTTGGCAGACGCACCTCCCGTGTCCCTCTCATTCTTTGCCTCACACTCATCCCCTGCTGGAAAAGAGAGACAGAATCAAGTAAGACCACAGGGAACAAGCACTATGGAGTAGTTTGAATCTCCATGTTATTACTGAAAGTTGCTGGCTGACCCTGAGCCAGGCACACATACTCAGTCTATCCTACCTCACAGGGTTGTTGTGAGGATGAAATGGAGGGGGGGGAACACTGTAAACAACTTTTATTATAAATCTAACTTTGCCAGGAAAAATGACTTCATCTGGTATTGCTGCAGTTGATTTGTCAGGAGGCAGAGCTAGGGACGTACACCCCAAGTTGGGAAATTCCTGGAGATTTAGGGGCTGACCTCATAAGAACCTAAGAGAAGCCATGTTGGATCAGGCCAATGGCCCGTTTAGTCCAACACTCTGTGTCACACAGTGGCCAAAACCCAGGTGCCAGAACTCCAGAAGCCCTCCCACTGTACCCCCCCCAAGCACTCAGGATACAGAGCATCACTGCCCCAGACAGAGTGTTCCATCTATACCTTGTGGTTAATAGCCACCCTATCCTACAACCAGGAAGCTAGTGATCTTAATGAAACCACCCTGAAACCATTGATGTAATGTTTTGCCCCTTTCTAAGATCCCTTGTATGTAAACACCTGTAATGGCTCCTCTCTATAGTGCTCTGAAATACCATGTTATCATGCTTCCTCCTTGACTTCCATAGCGTTCCTTAACAATTTTTACTGTTACAAAAGCTCTTGCCTTAGACCTCTCAGTTTAACCCAAAGACGAGGATGGCTTAGTTATATTTGCTACAATGACAGAACGGTTAGCACGTGGGGGTAACTGTGAGGTAAAAAACGATCCTTTCTTCTAAATAAAACAGCTGTTTTTACTTAAACAGAAATAGGATTTACTTAGAAGCATAAAAGCTAATTGTTTCAGTGTTTTTCAAAATCATAATAGTTTTCTTTGTGCTGTTAGGTTTTTGGTTTCCAGATAGGTGCAATTCTCCTTCTTTCTCTAAAATTCCCTAAACAGACCTAGCCACAAAGACTTGTTTTCAACATTTGCCATTTAGATAACATCTTCCCCACAAAGAACACAGACTTCTCTCAGTTCACAGCACTTCACTCACATGGAAGCCCTTATGATCCCCTCAGGAGCCAAGGGAGGGAAATATGCAACATGTGAGCTCTCGGGCCTTGTGTTGACGGACAGAAGTGTCTCCTCAGTCAACACTACTCTTCTCTTCCCTTCATCCATTAAACTGGTTGAGGGGAAGCCCAGTGGCGGGCAAAGTAGGAGTTCCTTCCCTTCAGCTAAACATTCACTGGGCAGGTGAGGCGTGTCGCCTCCACCCTGTTGTCTTCCCCTGGGGACTCTTGGCTGTACATCCACACAGCCCTCTTGATCCCTGTCTCTTTTTTGCCCCTTTGACAGTCAGGTAATAGACCAGCATTTTCCTTCCTGTCTAGGGGGCCAGCCGTGTATGCCAAAAGATCCCCTTGTTTTCAAATTGAAAACAAACAAAGCAATAATTAACATCATTTCGATATCCTTGCCTGGCCTGCTTTGCTTCTGAGGGGATGGGCAAGAGCCCGCCTGCATTGCTTTAAGCGGCATGAAGTTGGTGTCCGTGAGGGAACACAGAGAATGAGCAGCAGTGAGGATGACCAGGGAATTCCTCCTCACCAAAATCTCCCCTCCAGGATAGCATATTCACTTTAGGGCACAAAGAAGAGACTGTTTTTGGCTTGGTCTCCTCTGTTTCCCCAACAGGAAAGGATGCTGACTCTTACCTTGCTCAGCTGGGAAGGAAACGTCCCCTCGAGATCCTCCTGGTAAACTCTCCTCTGCTTCTTCTGAGTCAAGGCCTTCCTCTTCCTTCAAGGCTCCATCATCTACGCGAGGAAGAGAGAAAGAGGGAATCTTTGATCTATAAAGAGAGAAAATGTGCCAATTCTTCTAGGATGACTTAGAGAAGACTGGACTATCCTACAGAGAAAACTGACACTTCTTAGGGTTCGCGTCTGCACCAAAATGGGAAGATGTCATGCTACAGAAGAAAAATTCAGAGCAGGAGGCAGCAATCTTTCTAAGGTGAAAATGAAAAAGGATTCTAATTCCCAGACCCTGAAGGGTCAGAAGAACGTAAGAGAAGCCATGTTGGTTCAGGCCAATGGCCCATCCAGTCCAATACTCTGTGTCACACAGTGGCCAAGGCCCAGGTGCCATCAGGTCCCCCTCCAAACATACACGGAAGTACCTGCTGGTAGCTCTGCTTCCTTAGAGTCCTGGACAAACTGCTCTTCTTCTTTCACTAGGCAAGAGAGGTTGCCATCTTTATGAATCAGAGACCTTTCTATACCTGAGGAGATTTAAGAGGAATACGCCATTTACAGTTGACTTTCCTTACATACAATGGCACATCATCAAGTTTTGACTGGTACTTCCTATGCTTACTTTATTGTTGCTTCCGCATGGAGCTCTTACTCGGTGCTTCCCCCAAACGGTAGTGGATTCTAATTTGACTTCTGCATAACATCACAGTACGTCTGACACACTTCAGGGTTCCCCAAACCTCCTTTGGCACTATGTTTCCTGGAAGATTGTACCCAAATGAATGTGGGGAAAGCAAGACGGATCTGTATGTCCTTGGTGAAACTAAATGGGATCCCAATTCTCAGACACTCGCGGGTCCCCACAACAAAAGAGGTACCTGATAGCAGCTCTGCTTCTTTGAGGTCCTGGACAAACTCCTCTTCCTCTTTCACTGGGCAAGAGATGTGACCATCTTTGGGAACTGGAGATCTTTCTGCAATTAAGGAACACATCAAGAAACGTTTTACCATTTTTTCCCTTACATACAGTTCAGATAGGTAAAGGTAAAGGTTCCCTTGCTTGAAAGCCAGTCGAGTCCGACTCTAGGGTTGCGGTGCTCATCTCTGTTTCAAAGCCGAAGAGCCGGCGCTGTCCGAAGACGTTTCCGTGGTCATGTGGCCAGCATGACTAAACACCAAGGCGCACAGAACGCTGTCACCTTCCCACCGAAGTGGTCCCTATTTATCTACTTGCAATTTCTTGCTTTCGAACTGCTAGGTTGGCAGGAGCTGGAACTAGAGACGGGAGCTCACTCCGTCATGCAGCAACTCGGGTCTCGAACTGCTGAACTACTGACCTTCCACAGCCTGCAGTTCAGCGTCTTAACCACTTGAGCCACCGCAGCTCCTAGTTTTAATGGGTATTGACTATCCTCATGTGAGGGGACAGATCTGAATTTGTGAATCTGCCTTGTAGTGAGTCAGACCAGTGGTCCATCTTGGTAAGTATCTGACAGGCAGTGGTTCTCTCAGATGTCAGGCAGAGAAAGGTCCTTCCCAGAAGCTGCTACCGGAGATCTGGTCACTGGAGATGCTGGAAGTTGAACCTAGGACCTTCTGCATGCAAAGCAGGGGCTCTAACCACTGAACAATGACCCCTCGACACAGCCAAAGGCGGTGATATCCCAGCCCCCCCCCTCCCAAAAATCTCCCTTGGACTGAATCAGGGACTTTTGGCATGCAAAACATGAGCTTTGCCACTGAACGAGGGACCCTCCTCCTATCCAGTTGCTAATCTCCTCCCCAATGTCCCTTAGCTTCTGGTGCACACGCCAAGGATTGTGGGGAAATCAGTAAACGGAAGGGCTGGGGAAGAGAAACGGAGTTCTGAACGTCTTTAATGCACACATGTGGAGGCCCTGTGACACACGTGGAAGGAAGAGGTATGTTCTGTCCTCTGTGATGGATGAGCACTTGACCTGAAATGAAAGAGGGGCCCTGGAAGATGCTCCTCCTTACCTTCGCCTTCCACATTTGTGACAAAAGGGGAAAGATCCATACCCACGGAAGCCGCAGACTTGTAATTTTCATACATGACTTCCCAGTAGAGGGCTCTTTGGGCCGGATCCAGCAGAGCCCATTCCTCCTGCGTGAAGAACACGGCCACCTCCTCAAAGGACACTGGGGGCCTCTGAAAAGGCAAACGACCCCACTTGATCATCTCTTCCTCTCCCTGAGCATGTGGGGGGAGAGGCCTGGTTCCCAGAAGCCAGTCGACTCGGGAAAAGAAAGACCGACTACACAAAGGCTGATTTTCCTCACTTGCCAGGTAGGCTAGTAACTTTCACGTGAAAACCAAACAACAACAACACAGACTTCCCTTCACCCCCCCAGTACCTCGTTGTCTCTCCTTCTGCATGCATATATACACACGTGAAGCTGAACACACATGAAGCTGCCTTATATTGAATCAGACCTTTGGTCCATCACAGCCAGGATTGTCTACTCAGACTGGCAGCAGCTCTCCAGGGTCTCAGGCAGAGGTCTTTCACATCACCTCCTATCTCAGTGGTGGCGAACCTATGGCACGGGTGCCAGAGGTGGGCACGCGTGCCATCGGCCCAGCCAGGCCCAGACCATCATTAAAGTGTCGAATTCTCTGCCAAATAATTTTAAGTAAATGAAAGCATTTGGGATTGCTTTCCTTACTTTGTTTGGATCATCTTAAGTTAATGTATGAGTTGTTTTTTCTAAAGTAAAACCTCAGTATTCAGGTTAAATTGCCGTGTTGGCACTTTGCGATAAATAAGTGGGTTTTGGGTCGCAGTTTGGGCACTCGGTCTCTAAAAGGTTCGCCATCACTGTCCTATCTGATCTGTTTAACTGGAGATGCCAGGGATTGAACCTGGGACCTTCTGCATGCCAAGCAGATGCTCTACCACTAAGCCACGACCCTGCAGACACCCAGAGCACATTCTGCCACCAAGGGTAAAGCTACCATCCCA